TACTCTGGGAAAAATAGTTTTGACTTGGTTTTCATAAAGTACAGAGGAGACCCCTGCTAATTGTATGCGTGAAAATGGCGGGTATGGTTTGTTGGGTTTACTTCAAGTCAGTGTGAAAGGGTACCAATCGAAACAAAAACGCACCAGTATGGCACGCGCTGGGCTGGCACTGGCCAGCGATTGTGCTTAGTCGCTCATGTTTCTGCACTGTGTTGTTTCTTAAGGAAAAATCCACCGCTGCCGGCTTGTTTGAGCCGTTGGTGCTCATCATACTTGAATCGTGGATGTTTACGTGCCAGTCATTCTTTGCAATTGGGCTTCATCACGTCTCAGAATTGTTGCCTGGGCATTCTCCTCCCTGTTGCAGGATGCGGGTTGGGCAGGAGCCTAGTCCATGTTTCTTGCTCCTACACAAGGTCCTGACAAAAATTCCCTCCTGGCTCAAGGCCTTGGAAGAAATCGGTGCCTCAACCTGTGATGGCTGTATCCACACCCCACATGCTGGGGCCAATTGGCTTTGTGTCAAAATCAGGGGACCGCGAAAAGGTGGCATTCATGCATTTCGCTTGGCTTCTTCTTGAACCTCCCTGAAAAGGGTACCCTCAAACACATCCCGTTCCCCAGTCTCCTGCGTCAGGGCCACGCTCCTTAGTGCCAAAAAATGTGAAGCTAGGAAGCTGTCCAATACAACTGCACTGGATATGCCGGGCTCAACCAAAAAAACCTGGTGTTTTGGGAGCGGTTCTTTCCAGGTCTGAAACAGAATGATGGAACATCCGTCTCCACATCATGGTCCAACCAGGAATTTATGCTTGACAACTAAACCACTGCAAATAAAGTGTCTAAAATGTAGGCGATGGTGATGGTGAAGGACGGAGGTGAGGCTTCTTGCGGCGCTCGCTCTCCAACGACAGACAACGACTGGTATTGCGTTGATGATAGTCGCAAGCAGGGGGCACACTGCAAGAGCCCCACAATAAGACATTGAGGCATCTTCAAGAAGGACCTAGTGGGCCACCATGGGTTCTAATTGGAAGCTTTATAGGTTGGTGACTAGGAGGGTGTCAGGTGGTGCTGCACATAGTGCCAATTAAATGGGCGTCAGCTTAGCGGAGCACACATTCAGGATTCAGGACGAAGTGGAAAATGTAAGTTGCTTTTGGTCGGTTGCGCCATGCTTTAACAGGGATCCTTACATTATACACCTGAACATTGCCTTGTAAATGGTGGCTTCCCTTTATTTGGTGGAAAACGCCATATTTCAAATGGTTGCAAAATGTATCTTTTAAGGAGACATGCTTTAAGCTTGTCGGCAGCGCTTGCGCAACAGAAAGTGTGGCTCCTTTTTTTGCAGACTGGTCGCCTGGTCAGACTGATCGCCTGCAGTTCTCAAACGCCGGCTTTGCATGAAAAGCCCTCGGCCTTTGCTCGTCTCGCCGTACGGCGGGATGGGAATCCGAATCCTACTGCAAACCCGAGCACAATTTGTAGAGCGCGGGTCTGACAACACCGCAACTCCTGAGCATCCAAAATCTTGCCAACGTCCAAAGCTTCATTTGAGCGTTTCGCTTGCAAGGAAAGGGTTCAGCATTTGGAGGCCCGGGAAAAAGGGAACCTGAGCCCCTTCAAAACTAAAATCAAACTCTGCAGAGCGCTGCGCCTGTGGAAACTCTCTGCATGGCAAGCATCAACAAAATCCACACACAAAGCATCCGCTGTGGGAAGGCTCTCGGTGCGCGGCATCCTCTTGATGCCTGCAAGGCGCCTGTCGCCTTTTTTTTCGTCTTTCCCTCATCATTGTCTCACCCTAGGGTGCTTTCCTGGAGTTTTGGTGAAGCCTTCACCTCACAAGGTGCGGAGTGAGGGGCGACGACCCCACGCCAGAACCAGGGGACCGGGAGCGGTTCATGGCTGACGGCGCCAACGGCAGGCGGTTGGGAACCACCACCGGCTCCGCCATCGGCATGGCCTCTTGCAATCGCGCAGAGGGTCGAATCTCACAGCTTCTGTTTTCAGGAGACCTTTGGACGGTTTGGCCCCAGCAACAAACCCACCGCCGCCCCAAACACACATCCATTGCCTATCACTTTCTATGGCGCTCCACACCAGTCCGCTTGCTCAAAACAGGTGAGCACTCCTATTCTGCGTCGATGCATTTGCGAAAGCGAATCACGAGCTACAATCCTGACCAGATCAAACACAGCGACAAGAAGTAAGCGCAGCCATCTGAGAACACCATCAGCATGCAGCCAACAGACCGCGCAAAGGCACCCAGGCTATGAAACCAAACACTAAGGTCACTAAAGCCACGCTCAGCGTAGCACTAACCTCTTCCAATCCAATCAAAATGAAATTATATCTAAAGCCAACGAGAGCCAATGTATCTGCTGGTTGTTGCCACTATGCACGACTGCATTGCTTTCTCGGGTCTCCTGCGCGCGTTTTTTCTCCACCATCTTCTTCTGGCGATCCTCATTCTTCTGCTGGTTCTCAAGCTCCCTGAGGGCCAAAAGATGCAAAACGAGCTCGCGGATCCCAAGCTGCTTCTGTAGCGCGCATCTTGCCTGTTTGCCCTCCTCTGTGGACAACTTCAGAAACTTTGTTTCCAGGCCAAAACCAAACATCAGCCCTGAAATCAGCAGCCAGTGTTGGCAGGCAAACCAACATATGATACGCTCGTCTTGCACATGTGTACAATCAAGCATTGTCTTTGCCCAGCCATCCGCCAAACACAAACAACAACAACTGGACCTGGCACTGCCAGCCCTGCCTCAGCCGGCTCATCATCTCCGGGTCTGGCTTCTCCTTGGACCCTCAGCGGGCCTCCTTGGACCCTGCACGGGCGCTCTGTCGTGCAGTTGCGGGGCGCATGGGTCGACGAGTGGTCGTACGACGGCGGCAAAAATCGAATGACAAATGAGCAGAAAGGCACCTTGAGCCGAGAAATGGTGAATGCACATCAAACTGTAACAACCAAGGCTTCGTGATGCCAAACCGTGTCACAAGGATTGCATGTGGGAATACTCTGTGATGCACGGTTAAACACAATGATATGTTATACATAAAATGTATAAACCAAAACAATATGTATAATGGCGGGGGTGATACTGATCATGCCACGAACCACGACGGCGACAGCAACAGCGATGGCAAATGCAGCATCCAAGAATGGACCACTTCCACACTTGGGTCACAGCGATCACCAAACTTGCATGCATCACAACAAGCGATCCACATCGCCACCAAAACAAACAACTCCTGCAACTAATCCGCCAGCCAGCTGAGTTCTCTGCAGATCACAAAAGCACGGCGAAAGAGACTCGCTTCTAGGAAGGGCCACCTCTCTCTCTCTTTTTCTCCGGGAAAAAACAAAAAACATTGAAGGTTTATGTCTCCAGGTATGTATGTATGTATGTATGTATGTATGTATGTATGTATGTATGTATGTATGTATGCACCCTGACCTGCCCAAAGCTCGCCGTTTTCCATTGAAGCGATGAATTTGCCCCGAAGAAAGAAACCACAGAGGCGCGTTCACCTGCCCGGATTCCCAGAAGCTCCTCCCAACTTCCCCAACCCCCGTGGGCCAGGCGTCCACAACCGCAGGTTCGCCACCTCAAGGTCGACGGGTCTGGCCTGATGACCACCACCAACCAGGAACTGGCCGTTGTCTGCGATGTTCTCCTGGCACGCTGGAGCTGGAGAAAATATACCTTGGCTCCAGAAGATGCTAACACCAGGGCCTTGCCAGGGCCTTGCCAGGTCGAACGTGCGCTCGTTGGGTGTTGTATGTCTCTCGGTTCTGTCATCCTCCGCATGCAGGCTTCCGGCCAACACCAGGAAACATGCCGGTTGAAACACAACCTACTCCCCTTGCAACAGCAAAATGGCATTAGGCTGCCTCATAAACTGTGCTTGCGGTCGCATGCTGAGAACTCATAAATCATTTAACTTCAGCGAACATCAGCAGCAGCAACAGCAGCAGCAGGAGCAGCAGCAGCAGCAGCAGCAGCAGCAGCAGCAGCAGCGGCAGCAGCAGCAGCAGCAGAAGCAGCAGCAGTAGCAGCAGCAGGAGCAGCGGCCGCAGGCTGAATGATGTCCTGCCATAAGGTCGCTTGAGTGCAAATGCCACTGACAATACTTGAGAGGAAAAGGAACACACGCCACAGGAGCCACAATGAATCTAGCTCGAGAAGGGCGAGCCCCGGCGCCTGCCAGATTTGCTGAAGTATGTCCAGGATGAAAGATCGTCACGCATGGCACCAACACAGGCATTGCTGTGAGTTGCTCAATCGTCCGCGTCATCAACCTGAAACTCGGTTCCGCCCATCCGGCATTTACGCGAAAATCCATCTGGCAACTGTCAACGCATGTGACCAGTTCAGCTGAGCAACGATACCCTCAAGCTGACCAAGAGTACCCTTGACCAGTTCCTCTTGTCCTTGAGGAATGGATTAACAAAGACTCGTCCTTGGCAGCAAATGTTTTTTGCGTGGATCCTTCCGCAATCTCCATGGCTTCCTCACGAGATCTTCCACTAAGCTGACACTAAGGGACTCGTAGCATTTTGAGTATTCCCGGTCGGCTTCAAGTTAAAAATCAGACTTTCTCCCGGCCAACAAATGTCATTGTGTTCGGTTCTTGACAAGCTGTGCAAGTGCCGATTACCCTGAAAATCAAGTCGTGGCACAAGCAGGTTTACTACCCTACCAGGTCCTCCAGTAGAGAGGTTAGAATAAGGATACCCTGTTTTCTGTAGTCTATTTTGGTAGGGGAACCCTCCCCCAAAAAAGGGGTAAAAGGGCACTACTGAGGGACCTACCCTAGCAGGTTTGGTCACGCGGTTTTGCGGCTCCCAACGGGGCGTTCCCTTCGACCCCACGGTCCTCGTTGGGAGAGTAGATGACCAGGCCCGGGAAGGCAACGCCGTCGACATATAGATGCGCAATGCCCACATATGTAATGGTGGGAAAGACCTCGGGTTTCTGAGCACCAAGAACGCCATGTGAGACATGGTGAACACACTCCAAAACAGCCCGGAATTCACATGGGTGCATGATTGCCGAGAAAACAAGATGCTTCGATCTTTGGGATGCCGACCTCCCGTTTGTTGGCGGAAAGGACAGTGTTGGAAATTTGCAGTTGCTAGACGTGGTGATTTATCCAAGCGTGAGCCTAATTGTTCTTTCTACGAATTCCCACCAAACCAACCCTGACCATCGGCCACACGAAGGGGCTTGACAATGGCACAAGTAGAAGATGGGCCAGGGATCTTAGGTACACCCATGGATGCAAGAAGTCAAACGTGCATGGGAGGCCAGCAAAAAAAATGGGCCTATCAACAAGTGTTGACGATTTCAACATCTCTCAGCAGCATATATCAAGCCGCAAGATTGTCATTGTCTCCGAAGTTGATAGGAAGAAGTGTGTGCTCATTGGTATAAATGTAAACTTAAACTTAAACCTAGCCTGTTTGACATCTATTGGGGCCTAATCACAATGTGTAATAAACTTATTCCTTGTTCGAGGTTGGCAATCTTCTTAATCTGCAATCCGCGCTGCAAAGTGTGATTTGAAACCTCATGCCGGTGCATTGAAATCCATGCAACCACGAGTTTGTGATCCGTAAAGTACATAGTCCTATCCGGAAAACCGCACAATCCACACTTCACTACTCATCGGGGATTAGGTTTTGCACAAGCTAGTATACCTTAGCCAAACAATGTAAGAGTGTGAGACCCATGCCGTTATTGGCATCCATGCAACAAAATGTGCTCAGTATGTTTGCGCCTGATAAACCAGCGGAATTGTGCCAGATTGCGATTGTGCCAGATTGCAATAAGGAGACTTCTCTTGGCAATGTCATGCAAGCAAATTTGACAATCAGTTGGCACATACCTTGGCGACACCGAGAACCCCTGCAAGAAGCGATTTGTGTTTCTGGTTAAACGGGGAAATGAAGGAAACAGTGCAAAAAGGTCGGTGAAGTCTGATATGGAGCCCTGGATTCATCATGCCTATCATACACGGGCGCCAGAATTGTCCCGTTGAACTCGCGGGTTGCTTCTCCCCAGCGCCCACTTTGACCAACCCCGTGCCCCTGAAATGGAATCAAAACGGAAATACGAAGGCTTTGAAGAAGCAGCCAAATACAGGACATGTGAGAGTGCTCTATACATGCCAGAAACTGTGTAATACACATTCCAACGCGGCAGTGGCAGCATCAGTATACGGCGCAAGTCGGTTTCGCTCATGTGCTGCAGAAAGCAAAGCTAGGTGCACATGTTGGCCCTGACAAAGGGGGACCAATGTCCTCTTGTTTCAATGGTCAAGCATTTCAAACTATCGGTGCTGAAACTACTTGCAAGGGTCAAATGGGTTGAGGCTTTGTCCCGGCTCCTGGATCCAATCACGTTTCCCTTCAGCAGGTCCCTACCCCAGGCGGGTTGCTCGGAAAAAAAATTAAGCAAAAAAACAAAAACATTGGAGAACTGGATACTAATTCTTTGGCGATGTTCAGATTCGGAGCTACCGCCTGCCAACTTCCGGCCAGGCCGCGTCGTCGTAGATGTAGACATTGTCCTGCACCGGCGCCAGGCCAGTGAAGGCATTGGTGATCAAGGTGACGTTAAACAATGCCCACAGCATGCCTGATGCAAGCCAAGCGCAAGCAAGCAAGCAAGCAAGCAAGCAAGCAAGAAAGCAAGACAGAAAACAAAAGCAAGAAAGCAAGACAGGAAAAAACAAGAAAGCAAGAAAGCAAGAAAACAAACCACAAACAGCAAACAAACAATGAAACGTGCACGCACACACACACACACACACACACACACACACACACCCACCCACGCACGCACGCACGCACGCACGCACGCACGCACGCACGCACGCACGCACGCACGCACGCACGCACGCACGCACGCACGCACGCACGCACGCACGCACGCACGCACGCACGCACGCACGCACGCACGCACGCACACACGCACACACGCACACACGCACACACGCACACATACACACAGACACCACACTGCGCAGGCGCCGGACACAGACAAACAAGTGCGCCGGGCTCAAGCGCGCGCTGCGCGTGAATACTTCACCCTCCGGGTCACCCTCCTGCGCGCAAAGACAAGCAAGCCTGCAAAAACACACGCACATAATCATTGTATGTAATCATTGTATACATATGCCCCAATGACACTAGGGCTGAGTGCGGCAGCTGTGCATGATGACGGAGCACGCTGGCTTCCTTTTACACCAAGTCAAAGTCAACTAGGCATGCCTCCATTCAACTAGGCACAGGGTGCCAGCGATTTCTTCATTCTAAGACCGCCAAACAAAGCATCCCCAACCCCTCGTGCAATCCCAGGGGCGATTCTCGAAGGTGTGGCTGCTCACAAGCCGAGCTAACATCATGTCGACGGTCTCGATAGGGCAGTTGACCTTGCAATGGTACGTTCGGATTGGTAGGGATGTGAGTATGGTCGACCACAAGAAACCCATGATCAACCATTGATTGTATCAATATGGATAAACTGTGCCTGGTATGGATAACTGTGCCTGGCCTCAATGTCAAATACTCCAAGGCCATGTAAATCAGGTGTTTGCATCAAACTGTACCCTCCAACATTGGAGCTGTGGCCCAACCATGCTTCGATCAATTCTTGCTGCTATCCTTGGATGCTCTTCTACCATGTCCGCACAACAACACACTCAATGCGTGCCCGGATTCTCCAGCCAACCGCAGCCAGCCAGCCATGTCTAACCTAAAGAGGGCAACGTGCCTCTGACGTGATGAACTCATTCAACATTTGCCGGAAGCTTTAGAGGCAGTCATAGACGGCCCGCTCGAGCGGCTTGGCCGTTCCCGCCGGCTTCAAGTCGCCCGTGCCGTCGTTCGCAGCCGAGTGGCCACGAATGACACCAGGAGCCGGCCTTCGCCGCCGATGATTTGCTCGTCCTCGGCGAAGTCCATGGCAGAAAACCCTCCCAACCATGGAAGCAGTTGCCGAGGGTTTCGGGAGACTACTCTCCTTGTAGGGAAAAGACGCCCCCGACCCCCCGTCTTGCATGATTGTTGGAAAGAGTGTATGTGCTGAAGTACAAATTCCTTTGCGACGATCAACCAGACGAAGCATATCTAGCGAGGCTATGCATAATCTCAGCTTGGTATTGTATCCGGTGCCATTTACTCCTCTGAAGTGAAAGGCGAGCCAACTGGCTACTATCACTTCCCCCCATGAAAGGCCCCCAGTGGGAAAGAGCCTCATTCAATGGGCTGTTGATCACCCATAAGGACTTTGGTCTTGACAGCTGCAGCCGGTAGAATGCACTGGACCCAGCAATCTTGCCCATGCGCTTTTAGCACATCTTGCGCCGTCGCGCGTTTGTTTAGACACCACTCACATGCCTGTAGGTGTGTAAATAAAAATGGGCGTTCACATGGCGAGATGTCTTTTACGCTGGACAACAAGCAGCATTTCCAGGCTCTGTGGTACATTGAGTACACCTCAGCGATCTAAAAACAAGACACCCCCAACAAAGCAAACTGTGTGCTCAATCATTGTGTTGCTGCGGGAGTGTTGCTGCGGGAGGGTTGCTTTCTCTCATATTAATATAACAACGATCGGCCAGGGTCCGTTTGCCTCACTACCTGAAGAATGTTGAAGGCTGTCAACAAAGATTGCGCAGTCGACTGGCTAGCTAGAAGGGCTTGCAAGTAGTCATTTCCAACTCCCAACTTCCGACAATTGGGAAGTACCTTGCCAGCGTGTTGCCATTGTTTGGTCGACTGGATAACTCAGCGCGAGGAATGTGAACATGTCCAACCCCAACTGTAAAAATTTGGGCTCTGCACCCAAAGGAGAAAACCGATTTGGTGCATCACGTCCCTTCCCAGCAGCTAGCACGAAGCTACCCAGCTAGGGCCTCTTGAGAGGAGCAAGGTCTTCCAGATCCCAGCCAGGTCCCCAGGCAGCGCGGGTTGCCAAATGATATTTGTGTTGTTTCCTTTTTGGTCGCCCTTGAAAATCACCGCCAAAAGATGCGCCCTTAAATTATCCTCGAAATAGTGGCAAACAATGACCTGCGTCTGGAACACGGGCCTTAAGAGGCGTCGGGGTGTGCACGCTGGCAACACCGGACCGTTTCGTCCGAACCTGCGCAGTTGGAATGAGCGATCCACCCCGCGCACTACAACCTATAGACACCAAGCCTTACAGCTGCCACTAGAGCCCCTTAGCATGTTCGCACTGTTTGGGAAAGAAAGACACACCCATATCTCCAAGAACATGTCAAAAGATTTACACCAAACCTCCCTTTCGCAGGAAACAACATGAATCCCAAAGGCATCTGACCTCCATGTCTTCAACCTCTAGGTCCTCCAGAGCGCTTAGAATAAGGCTACCCTACTATTCATTTTTTCTGTGGTCTATTTATGAGTAGGGGGGGGGGTTCCTCCCAACAAGAAAAGAGAAAAACCGCACCAGTCGGCACCCATCGCTGGCGGACCCAGTCGTCATCTGCCGAGCATCCGCGTAGTAAAACCAGACGTCCGTGGCGGAGGCGTTGGCCTCCAGCGCCATGGCCTCCTCCATGCGCGCCGTGAGCTCCTCCCGCATGTCCTGGTTGCCTCAAGCGAAACCCACGCAGCCAAGCCATGGGCAGCTAGGAAATGGGGCCTGGCTCAAATTCCAAAGCCCGTAATTCCAGTGAACAAACCCAAGAAGCTATGGCAAAAATGTCGGAACCATTTTTTGGACCATGGGTAACTTGTCTTTCTTTTAGTTGATCGACATATCGAAACCTTTTCGTGGTGTTCCAACCAATGGTCCCAAGTTCATCGGACCTTTTGATCAACCACCAGTGATGACGATACTGTGGATGGACGAAATCCATTTCGCACCACCGTTCAGAAACCCCATGATATGATCCCCTGTGAATACCGACAAGCAATCGTTTCCCATCGTGTCTTGGGTGGTGCGAAATGGATTTTGTCCATCCACAGTATCTGCAAACGCGCGGGGAAACTCATAAAATGCAGGAAACGCTGAGAGCCTGCACGCGGGGTCGTATCGCCTCCTACATTTCCCAGGTTTTCACATGTTCGAGGAGTTTCGCACAGTTGCCAAAAACCTGCATTCTCCAAGAGTTTCCCACATTTCATTTGCAACAATTGCAACATGTTTTCAGCAGTTCTGGAACTCTTGAACATGTTGAAAACTACGGGAGAATGTAAGCAACTCTCGAAACAAATGCATGGGAAAATGCGGGGCTGGACAAAATGGCGAATGTGTGTAACTCTTGGGAAAATCTGGGAAATGCAGAAATTCGTTCAATGAGGGGAGCTCTTGCAATGTCGGAAACTTTGGGTAAATGTGGGAAACTCTGTGGAAATTGTGCAACGCAATTGGAAAACGTGGAAAAAACTGTTGGAACATAGCTGTGGGGGGGGGGGGGGGGCGGGGAACCAGCCAGTTGTAGGAAACTCGATTTTGAGACAATTGCATATATATATATATATATTATGATACCCGTGAGGGAAACTCTGGAAAATCAAAAAAAACAGCAGCTGCTGGGACTTCCATGCGGCTTCTTGGTTCTCAACAGACCAGGCCACAAGGTGCCTCGAAAGGAAACTGACAAGACCCAGCGCCGATGTTTGCAAGTCCTACCAAGCTATGGGGAATGGAAGAGCGGCAGAAGCAAGCACCTGATACTCAATCTGACATGGAAGGTCCAACAAAAACCTTGTCGAGGATTTTGCTCTAGACCCAGCTTTGGAGTTCGATGCGAATTTGGGGGGGCGAACATCTTCCACACTCTCCGAAGCTGATACCGATCCGACTCCAGCGGTAGCCCGTATTTCAAGCGGCCTATGATGGTGCTGTACCTCACGTGCATCAGCTTAAAGCCTCAACTTTGCGCCAAGGGCATGTCTTCTTTGTGAGGGGTCTGTTGGCGGATTTCAAAGGGAAACCAGAAGGAAACCAAGCGGGGTTCCCTATTTTTGGACAAGCCAGAAGAAACTGAAATATGCTCGGGGAACGGGAGCCAACAACCCCAATGGGGTTAAAAGGGTCTCCTGCGCAACAAAAAAAAAGAAGGACCGGGTGACCGCCATAAGCTTTATCTTGAAGTGACACATGAAACTAGCCCACTTTGGAGAGGAACCTGCCTGCCAAAGCCAGCTCATGAAACCCTGATAAAGCCTGTAGCCGGTTCTGCTAGGCATGAAACTGACAATGGCAATATGTGTGGCTAGCCACTGTAGATCCCTGAAGGGCCACACGCGCACACACTCTTTTAAGATAGACAAACCCAAGCGGAACCTTCAGAAATGCCATCATCTTGTCCATGATGGCGACAATCCACCCATATCACAAATGTCACTGCAACCCCTGTTGAATTGCGTGATACCCAAAACCCGCAAACACAACGTATAACATGCCGCACCCCTCATATACAGCTTGCGGTGCTTCACTTGCCGAAACGATCGCCATCCTGTCAGGGCCAGGCCGCTCTTTGCGATCTGCGCTCCTCCGCCAGCGGTTTGATTCCAAACCGCCGCCACATGATGCCACCTGACGGCAAGCTGTTTGCAGAGCAGCTGATATGGGACGTCAATGCCTAAAATCTCTCAATCCAGTTTTGTCAAGTGCTGTAGATGATGCCCACGCGGCGATATGCACCAAGTGTGTCAGTGTTCATTAGCTACGGGCAAAAACAAGTCTTCGCTTAGCGATGAAACGCTTCAGAACTCCGGTGTTCCGGGCTTTGGGTGAGCTCTCAATGATCTCAGCTGCTTCTTCAATGGCGACGTACCTTCGTCATTGAACCAGTGTGGCGAGATTGCATGTCCATTCGCTTCCACAAACAGCCATAGGTTCAGGGCACAACTGCGGTGACGTGGCAATGCAATGATAGCAATATCGGCGGCGCTGGCAGTTTGTGAGTGTGATACAAGGCTAAAATAAAGTGCAGCATCCGAAAGGCATTCTTTCACCTATGCGGCCGTGGCACTTGCCATCCACCAGTTGTGGACCCTGGATAAAGCCACTTGTCCTGATCAAAACGAATCACATCACGCTCGGCTTTCAGGTGGCTGAGCAAAAGCCTCACCTGACCGTCGGAAGGTTTGTGTTTGTTCGATTGTTTGCTTGCTGCTTGCTTGATTGCCTTGTTTTAGAGTGCACAACGCGCAAACGATGTCCATTCTGTTTGCAAGGCTAGTATAACCTTGGCCTGGAAACGATACTGTTCCAATATTGAACGATCGCGAGAAAGTGCTAGCTAGAGGTTTATCAAAAAGTGGACCCTTTGCAATTGAGTTCATTTTCCTTTTGGCTTCATTTCCATCCCTAAAATCCAAGGGAAACGAGTCATGTGGACTGTCCAACTGTCCGAAGATATGTTGGATAGCGCTCCAGCCTTAAGCGAGCTGTGCGAGAAATTCTGTCACCCCACAGGAATCACTCGGAGACAATTCTCAGTAAAGGTGGGCAAACCACAAATCGTCATATCATCTCACAAAAATGCTTCAAATCCCTCGACCATTAGACCTCAGACGCGGTTCTGAGTGCACGGTATTGCCCTCCAACAGACAATTGAACGCTGATATCCATGCTACACTCAGTGGGCTAGACATTGGCAGAGTCAAATTGAATGGCACCATCAAACAAGTTGGGTTCGATGTCTCCAAGTTCTAGAGCTCGATTTGCTGCGTAGCAATTCCAAAGTCAGCACTGCTTTCAAGGAAGGTGCTACTGCAACTGTCTGACGCGTCGGTGATCCCAAAACAACGTGCCCGAGAGTTGAAGGGTCTTGAATGATGCTATCAAGGCAAGGCAAGGCAAGGCAAGGCATGGCAAGGCATGGCATGGCATTGTATGGACAAGAACGCCAGGCAAGGCATTGCATGGAAAGTGATGCAACAACACTTTAAACAAACTACATAAAACCACTCCCGCATCTGGGTCTGTCTCCAACATGAACAACTTTGGGTCAGCTCTCTCCCGATGCCGGGCGTCGTGCCAGTGTTGCTGCTCAGCCCCACGCTGCCATCCGGGTCGATCCAAACGGCTCCATGCCGACGCCTGCCAACGGCCGGCTGGGATCGCGATTGGATGCTGGGCTTCTGTGCCGACAGGTCTGATCCAAGATGTCCAACAGAAGCAAGAACTGGATCCTGAAATGGCCCTACATCTCTTGCTTGGCGTCGCTTTCTGTGAGAACCGGACTCATCCTATTCATCCAGACAAGGAGACATAGAAGGGGGCCTTGCGCCAAACAATTCAATCGCCGCCACAGGCCAACCATGGCAAGCAGCCTAAACTGCACGGGAAGAAAACCCCCAACGAAACCACGCAGCCTAGGTGCAAGGCCAGGTGGGACAGCCCACGTCAGCTCAAGCCATCAAAACCTCCAGCCAGTCGCCAGCTGAACCTCCGACACAAAACCGGGGCCGGCCCACAATCCTGAAAGGGTCGGCCCCAAGCGTAAAATGTTCAGTGTCCCTGAAAGAGGAACATGCCCGCATCTTACTCAATTGACACTAGTATCTGCAGAGCAAAGGTTGCGGAAAAGGCGCGCAGGGCCTGAGCCCACCCTTGATAGACAACCGCAAAGCTGCGCAGCTGCCGCGCACGCCCGCGAACTTCGCAGCTTGAGCGGGAAGGCCAGCACAAAAGAATGCCAGCAAACATGCCACACCATGGGACCCGATAGGATGCCCTGTACCCCGGCAAATCTCTACGAGCCCTGGACCCCAAACAAAAGGAGGCGTAGTTGCCCGCCATGCCGCCCACACGGAGCAGTCCAGAAGCAGAGTGCACGACACGCACTCACGCGGAGCGACCGGGGACCGTGGCTTTGGGCCAGGACGGCGAGTGAAGGACCTACATCGTAGGTGAAACCGATCGCTTTACCCCGGGATCGGTGACAGATCCGATGCTGACCAACCCGTAACGTACTGGATGGACGGAACCCTTTTCACACCAGTTGGGATGGATGAGCCGCTTTGAGCAGGGTTTGGTCCATCCACAGTACCAGCTGCATGAGAGGCATATAACCTCTTCCAAAACCTCTAAGACACTCTCCTTGGAAACGAGAAAGAAACTGTTTGTGGTATCTGACACACCCGTGTACCTGCGTCTACTATTAAGTTGGGTATCTCAAGGGAAATAAATAGAAGCGAGGCTAATATGGTGCCCGCCATGTTCAATATTCCTTTTACGGTCAGTACACTTCGCGCGCTATGGGTAGCTTCCGTGTGCGGAGAGTGGTCCATGTTGTCCTCCTTACACAAATGGTTATAAATGTTGACCGTCAGGTTCTGGCCTTGGCAAATCAAGGATGATATGACGATCAAAACACAGGTCCCTATGTTCCATCCAAGCACCTCTTGGTTGCCATATCTTCTTGGAAGTAGAAAAGCAGTGGATTCTACGTACCAGTTTCTGTCTGCGTGCCCTTCTCAGGCGGCAGGCCTCATGTGATGCAGCTGCAACGTGTAGCCGGTCTGATGCAACCAAAACATTCCACACCTGCCATGATGACAGCAAGTTTTGCAAATCATCTTGTTGAGTATTGACATGACTGGCCACTATGCCTCCAGCAAGATAGAATTGCAATGCGTTGCTGAGCCCATTCCGGGCGAAGTCTTGGGGGATCAACCAAGGACTTTTGTTGCGTGCGATTTCTTGTGTTTCCCAACAGATTTCGAAAGCTCTGTCAAAACCTCCTGCGAGTGGTCGACTCCAGCCTGTGCAGCCCGCTGTAGAGGGTTTCCTTAGCTGCAGCAATTCGAGAAGTTCTCAAACTCCTTGAGCACATCGTAGTTGTCAAAAGAACGCACCCCTTCCACATCTTAGAGCAAATAGCTGGACCGTGGGATGGTTACCAAGCAGGTTCGAAGCAGAATCCTCGTCTATGGCCCAACCAAAGCAACGCACTTGAATTCCTTTTGGGGCCAAACAGCGACCCGTCCAAGCAAATCCGCGGTTTTGGGACCTGATCTTGTCGACTTGGCAGCTGCGATCGCCAGGGCGCTGCATCGTTGGTGCCGAAGGTGCCCATCAGCATGGAGCGTTCGGCAGGCGCCTCGTTCACGTGGAACCAGCCTGCGCAAAGCCGAGAGTGCCCGCCGCCCGCCCGAGCTTTCGGTGGGGTTGTGCGAATCGATCTGTCGGCGTGCGATTTGCGGGTGCAGAAGCTCGCCCGAGCTTTCGGGAACATCAAAACCGTGCGGGATACCGAGGAGGGATGTACGAGGATTCCCCGTAAAGGAAACCATGGGCTAAATATTGCCCGACCCAAAGGGTACAGCAAAACGAAAGCCCAAACATCCTCTATGCTGATTCCATGTATGGCTTCTCATCTCTCAGCCGGTTCAGGCCATGCTCATCCGCATGGGTTCCACACCGACCCGGTGCGCCAAGTCGATCGAAGAGAGTGACAGGGCTCCACACCAATATGGCCATGGGGCATAACCTATGGCTCCATTTTGGGGTGGATGAACATCCATTTGCCACCTACTTTGACGTTCACCAGGGGTACCATTGGTTTTGACAACCACAGCCATCGCAACAAGCTTCAGGGATCAGGGAATCACTCCAAGTGGTCCCAAGTTCCAACCTCCCGCGCCTTCCCAGGTCATGTCCTGCGCGCTGTAGGTGGCCCACTCGTCCGTCAGGGGTGGGATGTTTTGGCCCGCCCCAGCTGGCGAGAGGGGTGCGGGCCGACGTGGTCCGCGACCAAAGCCGTTACGAAGTTCGAACTCGGAAAGTGAGCCACGGCCAAACTGAGTCTCCCCCATGTCCCTCCCAGGAAAAGCAAATGTGGGGAAGTTGGTCGCCGTGCAGTTTCCTGGAAGGTCAGCGGACCACTTGACGTGCTGAATTTTTTCGTGAAGGTGTTTCTAAAATATGGAGTAAATGAAGCTCATGCATCAATGGCAAGAAGGCCTTGAAGACGCTCGCCAAGCTGCTTTTGTCTGGCCGTGCTGCTGCTTCGGAGCTGTCTTTTTGTTTTGACATATGCATCCACTGACCCTTGTGCCGGACGAGGTCGGTAGCAAGGAGCACGCTGATATTGTGCGCTTTCGCGAATCAAATATGTTTGCACAGTGTTTACAGTACTGCTTTTGCAAGTCGCCATGGTGGTCTACAGTGTTGCGAATGCAATGCTTTGGCACCTTCGAAGCGTTCTGACTGGACAATTCGTTTAAAAGAAGAAACAATGGGCATTTCGCATATCTTTTCGCATTTGTTTGGGGATTGGGAGTTGCAGAACAGCTCCTTCCCGTAGGTACTTGGTTCGTGGTTGCTTGGGCCAAGGCATTGAACCCTGTTGCTGAGCTGAGTCTGTGCAGCGCTCGGTCTGAGTGAATGCTCTTTGTTTGTCTCGCAGGATGTCTCAGAAGTTTGTGGCCAAATCATCCAGTCTTGTTGGCCTGGCATTGGGCATTGGGCATGTTTGGCGATTGCTTCGTGTACGGATCGCTCGCTTCAAAAACATGTGCAGTTCCTGTCTGGCTTGGCCTCGCTTCTGGCAAGCAATTTCTGTACTGCGCCTCTGCAGTTTCTACAGGTGTTGTGTCCTTTTGCCATCATTTATTTGTAGGCACCTGCCCATGCGAAAGTAGTTGCCAACAATCAAGGATTGGCAAAACCGAAAGCCAAGGATCTGTGAACCCTGCCTTCCAGTAGAGCGACATAGAAAATCTAAATGACCGTCATGTCTCTCAAAAAACGCCGCGAGTCGTTCCGATTGCTTCACGGGCCAGAGTACACCCTTCTCTGAAGTGCTGCCAAGAAGCAATTGCTGAGCTGGAAATACCAACATGAACAAGACCCAACACCACCAGTTGTCCACCCGATTCAGATTGTTGCCGGTCGGCAAACATTTGCTTGATATTGTACTCGCAGTCCGGGGAGTTCAATCCAGGCTGTGCTTTGTCGGGGGACGATGTACGTGATTCTGTACTAGGGTTGCTGGACACTGACAATCATTTCAAAAGCAGCTTGCCAGTTCCCAAAGTGATCCTGCAACAGCATACTATGGACCAGCTATTATGGAGACATGTTACTTCCAGCGCATAAACATCCAGGTTGACCGGTCCTGCACCGATACACTCGACTTTCAAAGGGCTTCTGTCAGCTTCCACATCTGGAAGAGAACCCTCCAAGTTGCCCTGTGACCCAAAAGTGCAAAAGAATTGCAAAACATTGCGTTGCTTCCTTGTTTCGTGTCAAGTGTCCTGGTTTCACAACGCAAAGAAAAATCCCTGGAGTCCATGTCTCGTGGCTTCAAAACCCAAAGAACAAAACACTTGGGAAGAGGGCAGCCCTCTGAGCGTCGCCCTGGCTCCACTAAAGCCGCCTTCTGCCGCACGGGTCACCAGCAGCATCCAGCTGACCCCGCGGGTCCTCGAGCCATCGGAATGAGGGAAATGAACCCAAGCCCCAAGAAAACCGCCCGTTGGATGGGTATACCAGTCATTCCAATTCTCATTCCTGACCAAGTGGTGTCTCTTTGAAGGCCGCCCATCCAAAAACATGGCCAGGCCGGTGGCTGATGTGATTGGAAGATGTAGTTCCCTTGCCTCAAGCCGCTGCGTGGCATGTTTATCTCGATCAAACCAGAACAGCCTTTTGCACGCATATACATCGGCATGAGTCAATTGGAGCCTGACTACTGCGGCTCCTGAACAAAGGATGCAACACATCCCAGGCATGAACCGCATTGGAAACTTGAGCTGCTTCCCCGAAGGGACATTGATCAATTGACGTTGATCGCTAGAAAACGTATCACACCATTGATGTACCCTCCATTCCAAGAGTCAACTTCCGGCCTGGTGGGTGCAAGTTAGCCTTGCCTTTGGCGTGACCTAACATGTTCTGCGGTGACCAGCGCTGCTGATTTCTGTGGCACGAACTGCCTTCTTTCACACATACACAGCATAAAATGTGACTTTCAGTGTCGGCCACTGGGATCCCTGACCCCCGCGCCCCTTTGCCCAATTCCGGGCCTGCAATATTTCAGATTTGATCACGGCTTGAGGAAACTGCCGGGGGGTTGGGGGGGGTCCAGCCCAGCGATCACAAGTTGGGGGCGGGTTGGGGGCATTAGCTCACGCGAAGCCATTATAGCAAATTGAGAAGCATGCTTGGCATTGGACACAATGCCAACACCCAAAACCTGTCAGGCAAATACAGTGAATCTGTCATCAGGCAACCAACGATACCGGCGTCGTGTTTTGTAATGCGTGCCCTGAGCCGCTGACTGCAACTGCGCAGAACACTTTGCAGTCCCAGATGGACCCATTCACCTTCATTCTTTCCAGTGCTGCAAGAAGCCCTACGCAAGTGACCTGAGCCCCTGTGATAAACAGAAACATGTAGCTGACACGAAAACGATCGGATTGGCCGTTTGTTTCGCGCTTTTCTGAAAATCACAAAGCCAGCCAAGCTTCGTCGAGGTAGAGGTCTTTAATTGGAGGAATCATAAAGGGGGGGGATCCGACATTATGCACACCACGAATCACCACAAGCCCAAAATAGAAACTGAAAGTGAGTGACCCTGGCTCGAGATCAAAATACCAAGCGGCGCGAAGACCTCGCTGGTGCCGTAACATTTGCCAGGTCTTGTGACCTGCCATGGCCAAACCACGTTGCGGGGTCATGGGTATGGCCATGGTCCCATGGTGCTGTTTTCAGGATTACTGCATAGAATCATAGAATGCCACGGTCGAGGCTATGAGACGCAGATGACGGTCAATTGGTGTCGTTTCGGTCCCGGGCTCGAAGCATATTGAAACACTCCGCTGGCGAGTCAACACCCCACCTGGCCCCGGGTGGTCCCGCAGTTGTAGGAGCAAAAGAAGGCTGGCGCCGTCCTCAGAGCTCTCGGCCATACCGAGCGAAACATGCTGAACTCGCAGGGAAGATGGGTCTGAGGGGACGCTGGTAAATGGAAGGACTAAAACCTGTGGTCCATATCCTGGTGGTTTAGTTTTGACCCACACCCATGTCTAAGGGGTTGGCTCAACCTTGGTTGAATTGAAAACCAAGAGGACAACTGCCATGTTTTGGTGTCCGGGGTCATGTCCAATTCCCTTATGGCCGTCTCTTCAAGAATGAGTGCTTGGAGAATGGATGAGGAAGTGGATCCTCCAAATGAACGGTGTCGGTTTCGAAGCTTGGGTAACCATGCACGATGCCAAGGGGAATTCACGTTGCTGAAATCAACCTTGTGCCCTGGTCGTCAGTGGACAGTTCCCCGTCCTGCAACATCCACACTACCCCAAAAAACAGCTTCGGAGTGAGACAGGTCCTTAGTCAGTTTGTCCGAACACGAAATGCAGGGAGACGCCATTTGCTTTGCGAATGCAGTTTCATGATCAAAGTCGGCCCCTGTCATGAAACTTACACTCTATTCCTTGCTTCACTTTCGGGCGGACAAAATGCATGAAAACTTCACCCAGTTCGTACACGCACCATCTTTTTGCCAACCAAACAAGTTGCCGCGTGGATCCGCAACCGCCCCCATCACCCCAGGGCCATGCGCACGAAAATCCATCGTGCCAAGCCGCTGGTATCCGACCCTGTTCACCTGCACAGAGGTATCAAGCAATGGGAATGGCGGTGGAACATGGGGGATCCTTGGGCCTTCACAAAACACACGAGCAGATCCCAAAGAGGACCCCCCATGTCAAGAGCCTACGAAGAACCTCAGGCTGAAAATCCAGGACTGTTGGGAGCAGGTGACTGCAGTCCTGTGCTGCTTTGCAGCACAAAGAAGCCCACAAAGCCGCTGAATCAGAAACTGTGGCCTAGGAACCCAAATTCAACAGTCCACAGCTAGCCGTCCTTGGCAGCCACCTGATGTCTGCTCAAAGTGGTTCAAGTTCATTCTTCTCTTCTAGTAACTGCTAGCATCCGGGAGAGGCTCACAACCTCCTTCTGGGATGGGTCTAAAACGAAAACCGCAAGGGAACCTTCTTTTTTCGGCGTCCCCCCTGGCTTAGCAAGCCCCAACTTGAATGTTCGCAGTTTCAGCTTCAAGGGCGCAAGTGCGCTTTCACTTGAAGCGCCTCCTCTAGCGTGAGGTCCAAGGTTTGCGTGCTGCCACTGCACTCCATGATCCAGGAGGTGGAACCTTCCGGGGTGATGCGCAAATTCAGCTTGTGCCGCACACACAACCCAGTTTCAGTTCGACAAGTGGAGCTGGCATTCTTGCCTGCTCGAGAAGCAATTAACCTCTCACCAGTTCAAGCAGCACTTGTTCAGATCGCTCGTGGCAAACTACAGCCAGCTTTGCAACAGAACCAGGCAGCTTGGCCAGTGTTTAATGCGAATCCTCCAGTATTTACAGGCACAACCTGGCATCTTCGCTACCGAGTATAGAGCCAGTGTCGCAAGCTTTTTGGGGATAGGCAAACAGCTCGGTGCGAATTCACAAGGGTCAGTCAAGATCTGCGGCTTCTGTGCCACGTGCTGCGAATCTTTGCGGTGCATTTGTGTTGCTGCCCGGCAGCCGACCGGCAAGGCCACATCCGACGAGGAGAGGTAGGCAATGTGGCTACACAGCAGGTTGCCTGAGACTTCGGCCCAATCGCTATACGCAACGAAATTAATGTGTACATAATATATATATATATATGCATATATATATATATATGTATGCAACCCCCCTCCAAAACCCAGGTTTTGAACCTGGACAATTGCCAAAATCACTGGAACAACTGCTACTTTTGAGAAACATGTATGTCCCCCTGAATCCTTGTTTTTTTTTTCAGTTGTTTTTCAGTGTTTTTTGTTTAAATGTTTTTTTTTCAGTTTTTCAGTTTCCAAAGCGCTTCCTTTGAAGAGATGCCCTTACGCAATCATAGTACTTGGTTGCAGCATGGGCTGCCAAATGAGAGGTTTTGACAGATGCAGACAGTGGGCCTGAAAAGTGTGTGTTCTGACAGATGCAGGTTTTGGTGACAAAGCACTGTAAATACCAGTGCTTTCTCACAAAACCGTTTTTTAAACAAAAAAATGGGGGGGGAACCATATATATATATATACATGCATATATATATATATATATATATATATATTGTTGTGTATATGTGTTCATAACATACTGGGGTGGACCCTGCCCTCAAGGTATGCACGCGCGGCAAGGCTCAGGTTTGCGTGCCAGGAGATCTCGCAGTTTTCAAACTCGAGCTTTGAGAGTCATTCGACAGCGGCAAAGTTCGTTACAAAGCGACAAAACAATACAAGTTACACGTTTCGAGCCCAACATGACTCGTTCTGCTTTTGCGGGTCTTTGTTGACTAACATCGCCAGAATCACCAGCGTGTTAGTTAAGAAAATGCATGTTCAGCTGACTAAAAAGTATGAACTTGAGACGATTCCGCACGTGTGCGCGAGGCAGAATTATGTAGTTTGGCACGTTCGTTACAAAAATGCCTGTCACGGTTTGCAAACGCGAGTTTTCCAAATCGAATCATGAAACTTGTCCGTGCCTGATATGGCTCAGTCTGCTCTTGCATGTCGGTGCTCGGTAGACAACTGTCCGTTTGCTGAAAGTAGATGTCGCTGTGATCCTTAGGCTACCCTGTGCTTCCAAACACGAAGAAAACAAAACGTAGGGTCAGCGGACAAAACCGAGGTTTTTGGACAAAACCCGGGTTTTCCAAAGCAGTACCGAAAATACGGGTTTGGCATGGGTTAAATACGGGTTTGGCACGGGTTAAATATGGGTTTGGCATGGGTTCGGAAGAAGAAAACCAATGTTTTCGTCACAAACCCGGGTTTTATCGAATTGATCCCCCAAAACCCAGAGTTTTGTTTCAGACCCGACAAATTTCCAGGGTTTGGACGCACAGGGTAGAAGTGGACGCCCCCAGCATCGGTTTCGATCTAGAAAACGATTTTCCGCTGACTGAAAGTAGATGCCGCTCTGATCTCTTGCTAGTGGTCGACTAGCGGTGTCCGAACTCCAGTTTTGAAAGTCACTCGCGGCATCAAAGTTCTTTGCAAAAACGAACCAATTGTCGAGCCGGACATGACTCGTTCTGCTTGTGCCGGTCTTTGTTTAGTAAAGTGGTAGACGCCAGCATCAAGTCCTTGGCTAAACGTTGCAAACCTAGGACGATTTGGCGTGAATCCAAAAGCCGGCACGGGAACCGACTGGAGATTGAATTGCGAGTAGGACGGGAAGAGCACGAAGACTTAAAGAGCCAAGCCAAGGATACTGGAACAAAAGTGACCCTGAGCAGATTTGTACAGACGGAAGTCCTCAAATATTATGTATATATATAATAAATATATATATATATATGTATAATATACATATATATATATATATAGATATAATATATATATATATATACACATACCTGCAACGCCTATGGTTTCCAAACAAAGTTCGCTGCAGCTGGCTTCCCCAAATCTTCCAGGTCCAGGCCAAAAAAAAAACTCTCATCCGATGCGGCCGTGGCGACACTCGCAAGTTGCATGTGATTGGGCACACCCAATTGCATCCCCTGATATTTGTCTTGTCGTAGTTCTCACTTCCTTGTCGTAGTTGAAACGTGCCCTTGCATCCTCCAGGCAGGTTTTGGGAGTAGGGTTTGGATCTAGGGTTGGTTTCGGCTTTTTGGGGGTCGGTTTGGGTAAGCGTCCATGTTTAGGGCTCTGGCGTAGACTTTTTTAGGGCTCAGGTTGTTCAGGTTTAGTTCTTAGGCGTAGGCGAAAGGTTGGAGGTTTACTTTTGGGGTGTTGGAGGTGTTTAAGTTGAGTTTGGGATGTTTGAGGTGGCTTAGTGTTTGGCTCAGGGTTTAGAAGCAGGGTGTGGGGACCTGGCTCAGGCTTAGAGCTTTGACGTTCAGCGTGCGGGCAAACGATGGGCATTTGCCTTGTACGTGTGTATGTGCGTGCATGTAATCTGCAATGCAATGAAATGGAAGCTAAGGGAACGTGAGCCAAGGTAACGAAATGCAATGTAATGTGTGTATGTATGTACGTATGTACGAATGTACGCATGTATGTATGTACGTAATAAGGTACATGTGTGCCCGTACCGCGCACGCACGCACGCACGCACGCACGCACGCACGCACGCACGCACGCACGCACGCACGCACGCACGCACCCACGCACGCACGCACGCACGCACGCACGCACGCACGCACGGAGGTAGGCAGGTAGGTAGGAAACTAGGTAGGTAGGCAAGTAGGTAGGTAGGTAGGAAATTAGGTAGGTAGGTAGGTAGGAAACTAGGTAGGTAGGTAAGTAGGTAGGTAGGTAGGTAGGTGGGTGGGTGGGTGGATGGGTGGGTGGGTGGGTGGGTGGGTAGGTATGTGTATGTGCGTGTGTATGTGTGTATGTGCGTGTGTATGTGTGTATGTGCACTATACATGATAACTGTGTCACCTGCTGGCAACTGCACGGATGCCACGATGATTCTACGCTCACATGGTGATACACATTTCTTCCTCGACAAGGTGACCCCGTTCTAAGGGCCAAACATCCCCCCCCCCCCCCGCCCCCCCACCCCTCCCCCCCACCCACCAAAAAAGCAATCAACCACAAAAAAACACAAAAAATGAACTTCGTCCCACGGACGGCTGTGGGCAGTGGTCCAACTACATGGTTCGCGGCGCGAGCAAAGCGACCGAGAGGCAAAGCGCCACCAGACCCCTTCATGAAAACCCAGGACCAACCTCCCAAAACACGCGAGGAAGAAGCATGACATTTAAGCCTTTAAGGGCTCTTTGGAGCTTCCGGGGCTTCCCCAGTTGTTCATTTGGCAGAAGGGAACCCTTTTTGGTGTTGACCATCTTTAGTAAGAAAGCCACAAACAAACAGGTGGAAAAACAGGTGCCACTAAACAACTGGGCTTAGCGGGTGCGACTTGGGTAAATAGTTCAGACCCTTGACCGATACGTTCCCAATTGAACATCGGGCCGTTTTTTGCCAAGCTGCCATCCAGATCCTCCGTTGCGTTTCGGTCCGGTGTGCCGTCCAGGCGGTCGATGATCCACCTCACGCAGGGTTGCTTGAAAGACCCTGGCGCAACGGTAGAAATGTCCCTGGAAAGGGGGGAACAGCAGACAACCAAACCAATCCTAGAACCTGGTGTTTTGGTTGCCTGTCAAATGACCTGCCAACGTTGCTCAAGACTCTACCAGCAGATCTTGGCGGTTGGCTGAGAATTGCTGGATTCCAATCAAAAACAAGTTGGCCAAGATGGCCAGACAACAACGTGGATCCACCTTCAGCGTGACCTTTCCATCCTTCCCAAGATGTACCTGGACACACCTGACTCCGGTCTGGATGAGCACCAAAGAAATCCCAAGATCGGATGTGTTCTGAAATGCGCTTCGACTTTGAACTGCTGACGTTGATCGAAAGAAAGCAGGCACCATAAGTAGGTGATTTGTATGCGGAGGCCAAGCCTCCCCATGTGTCCGCTCATGTTGAAAGGGGACACTAATAAAAATGCACGGCGACTCAAAGCCAAGGACACCAGGGTGCAAGACACAGATAGAAATGCACCGAACCAACCAACATCACAATAATGAAGAAACGAATCAATGCCTTTGTACCTGAAGGTGAAAGCCTCGATACCCGCACCAAAGGCATGCTGGAAGTTCAAGCAGAAAGAACCAGAGTATGTATGAATATAATGTGAGACGTCTCTTATGTATATATATATACATAGCTCGCCTCTGTCAATTGGCTGTGGGTGAAAACCATCGGTACCATCTTGGGGTAGGTGCACCACCCATGTTAGTCTATTTTAGTGGCGATTGGGATGTTCACTGGAGGTACGGGCTTTTGACCCATGGCTAATTGTCACTTAATTTGGGCTACATCACGGGCGTAGTTGTCCCCATCGCCTGGAGTCTCCGGTCGAAGCGTCACAGCTGGGATCAAAGTAGATGTGCCTCGGAAGCAAAGGAATCGCCAGCCCCCACCTAAGTCTCCCTCTGCGCTGCCCTCAGATCCCCCGCGAAAAGTGAAAATAACTTTTAGTGGGTTAAATACGGAAACTACCACTAACATCAGCAAAAGGATCTAAAAAGCTAAGGAACCGGATGGCTGGGAGCCACCAAGTTTGAAGTGTCCACTCCTTGACTCCGACAAGTTTGCAACTGTGATTCACTCAAGGCAGCTTGATTTCCGATAAGTGGGGAACTGAGGTATTCTGCCGATCGGCAGTTGCGCTGGCGCAAACCTATCGTACACCACTGGTTTGACATGTGCCAGTTGCAGTGGATGCCCATCAAATCGACTGGGCAAGCAAACGCTTTTGCACTCCCGATTCAGTTGTCAGCGTCTCATTGATGCTTATTGACACACCTTCTGTCTGGCAAATAACATCCTTGTGCACGGAACCATTTGTCGCGTACTAAAAACGAGGCATGGAACCAACCTCCCCATTGCTCTTTTGCCTGTCTGTTTCAATTCATGCCTCTTCTGAGTCGGTGTCTGCACTGTCCTTGCATGCCCCCAGCCTCTTCTTGGTTGGAACATTTGGTGCTCCTATCAATTCCACCTCCGCATTTGCCATGCATCGATTCTCGTCTTCAATCGTTCAGAGATCCCAGTCGATCCGAGACAGCCCTTTCCACTGAGGCAAAGGCAGATCCGACTCAACGGCCTTGTAGAAGGGTGCGCCACTGCCCGTAGTGCCCTGGAGGTCGTACTCCTTTGATCCGCACCCATGGGTAAAACACACGGCGCGCAAGCCGAGAGAGCATCTAGGAGAAGTCGCAAGGATAACTTGTGACTTGCATTGCGTCGTCAAGCCGTTCTGGTATGCATCAGATGGAAACGGCTCTCCATGCTCTGAGTTTGTTGCTGGACACCGTACGGACAACTCCATAGATCAGTGAGCATGCCTGTCGCAAAAGAAAACACCATTCACAGGTCGATATGACGTTACACATGTGAAGGACCCTTGTGAAAAATAAATAAATACATAATAAACTCCGGGCAACAAAGCATGCCCAACTTGGATACTCAAGGTGACTCATACAAACTGACATGTTGATCATGTTGCTGAAACTTACTGTGAATGCGACCTGGTTCTAATAGTTGTGTTTAGCTCCTCTGTTGTGCATCGTTTCACTTTGCGGTGCCCAAGTCCAATCAAGCGGCCTGACCTGTCTGGCGTTTTCCCCGTTGGCAAATGTCCATGGGGCAAGATGTCCCCGTTGCCAAGGGGCGGTGTTCACAGCATCATCGCAGGCATCGAAGACGGCCAACCGCGCTGGGGCCTGAGGCCAAGCAGAGCGGGACCTGAACATCTGACAATGGCCTGGAGCCAGCAGGTATCATGCCCACCATACACCAGGGACACACATGCAAGCCAAGCACAGCAAGCGTCTGCAAAAGAGTCTGGAACTTTGTGCGGCCTGATTGTTTTATGGCTGGAACCAGACTCTTAGGTCCATCCCATCAGAAGGGGCTCAGAAACAATGCTGCGATTCATGTCAGAAGCCAACAGCCTTGGAAATCTGTGTTTAAGTTCTGGTCAAGAAAGATGTGCATAAATCATCGGGTTTCTTGACCACATATCCTCTGCGACCAAAGTACTTTCACCTTTGAACTGGGTCAAACGTTCGTGGGCTTCAGCGCGCCAAATTTGCCACGCCCCATGCCTGGGCTTCAGCCTCGAAGAGGCCAAGCAGCGCCAGCCAGCGCATGAGCGGCTTTGGGCTGCGAATGCAAAGTCTGAGGTTAAAAGAACGAGGAATAGCTGGGCTCTCCTCAGATCTCCCGCTAAAAACCTTCACTGTTAGTGGTTCAAATGGAAATCCCCACCAAAAAGCTAAAAAGCCAAGGGGATGGGTGGGAGCTGCCAAGGTGATGATGTAGATAACAGCAGCAAAGGCCCCAAAACAAGACGAACAAAAACCATCCGCAGGCATGGCCAAGAACGTGTTTGTTTGTCGAACTTCTGCCTACGAGCCTAGTGAAATGCATTGTAAACACCAAAACCTTGGCTACATTGTGCAACACTAATCGTCCAGCACTTGTAATTAACTCGATCCATCAGCTCCTCGAAAAGCAAGCCAGGCTTGCTGTGGCCTGCGCCGAAGAAACTCCGATGGTGCGTGTTGCATTGGTGGCTGCGTTTTGACGCCTGGCCTAAAGAAGGCTGAAGCCTTGAACGAGCCGCGGATGCAACTTGCCACTGAGTCACTGCCAGCCCGAAAGCTGACTCTTGCCCGGTGGTTTTTCATGATAATACAGACCTTCCCATTGTTGCTGGTGGATTCAGAACGGAAACCCAAAAGATCCAGGCAGCATATTGTTCCTGCCGCTGGACTTTGGATGTTGCCGTTAACCTTCAGCGTCTCCGGTGCTATACAGCGATTCCCATGTAGCAACTTCTGTCATGGCTTCCCAAAGCCGCGGGGGGGGGGGGGCGGTCGCGTCCGATCGGGTGGGGTGAGCTGGGTGGAGCTGGATTCGGGCGACTTGTCCCTCACAGAGCAACGTCTGGACAAACGGATGCACGTTTCCAGGGGAGAACAAGGTGGATCGCCTGATGCCGTTTTGTTGCACATGCATGTACCATTCACCATTTTGATGCTGCTCAATTCGGATGCCATGCGCGGAACCCTGACATGCCGCGCAGGAGAAGAAAAGCCCTGCGGCGTCCGTTTTCCTTCCCACGGCCATGGCTCAATGGATTGCTCTTGCTCTCTCACGCGTAGCCTGCGGACTCCAAAACCTGACAGGCAAAGGCATAAAGCAAACGATCAAAGCTCAGCAAATGAAGTGCTGGAAGGAAGCCTTATTGCTCCCACCCACTAACAGGAACCTTCCCACAGGTCCCTTGAGGACAAACATGGTCTTCCAACATTCCCCCCGGCCGGCCAAGCTAGGTTCCGATAGCTGGTAGGGTGGAACTCTTCAATACCAGCCATCAGAAGGCTCTTGCACACCCGCTCAAACAGCAGCAACATGTTTTGAGTAACATGGCATTCTGATGTCTCTCATTCGTCGAAACAACGGCAAGAGATATCTAATGAACAAAAACAACAGGTGGAGTTACGAGCCCCTCGGTTCATCTCACCAGCCCGTGGGTTGTTCGGTGGACAAGCAACGACAAAACAAGTCAATAAGTTCACGGGCCCCTTCCATCGATTCCTAACAGCCGTGGCTTCACTGGACCACAAAGTCTGTTCTTGCCTGCCTTCATCTGATCGGCCGAGAGCTTGACAGCCTTCTTTGCCTGGCAACTCCCCAGAAAACATGACCAAAGCAAATGCAGCATGTTCAGTTTTGCCACGTATTGAGGGGATCACCTACTTGGCTTGCCCACCGTGAATCCGGCTGCCAATACTTATGATTTTGATGCTCAATGGCCGGTAAACAAATACCCTCTGCGCCCCAACTGGAGTTTGCCCCGCTACTCCTATTGTGATGGTGGCCTGGGCATTCGGGAGTTCGTAACCCAAGTCTGCCCTTCCAACACGATGGCAACAGCCCTTTGCTCGCAAAAACCAGTTTTGTGTCCTGCACGTCACCAGATGAGCCGCTGTCTATCTTCTTCTGGTAAGGGAGATTCTGCTTCGCAGAACATAGCTCAGAGGGTAGGTTGTCCTCATCTTGAGTCACAACGGACGATGCTCTTGAATCCTAACCATCAATGCAGAAAGCAAACTGGTCGCTTTGGCAACGAGTCTCACCGCCACTCCCGAACGCCCCAGGCACATTATATTGATTCATCCTTGCAAGTGGACTTGCTCACATGGTATGCCCCGGAATCGTGGGTCCCCGTTCAGTATGTGGGGCAGTCAACATCGGCTTTCCACTGCACTTGGGTGCAAACTCGTATTCACCTGCCCAGTGAACGGAAAACCGCCATTTGCGGGTTTCCCTATTTTGAGATACGAACCTTGATTTGCGAAGGTCCTGCTAAACATAGCTGGAAATAACAAAACAAAAGATGTAGCTGGACAGCTGGGTTCTACAACAAACACAACGTTGCGTCAACATACCGAGACGACCACCGGCCAAGCCAGTGAGCCAAGCTACCAACCTTGGGTCTGTCTTACAACAGAACCCAAAATCAAGCTTTCTCCATGGGCTACCCCTTGAAACTCGCCTTGAAAAGGGAAGCCCTGCCGAGGCCCTTGCACCCCAAGACTGACCGCCCAGGATTCACATGGAGCGCCTCGTTCTTGGCCCGCAGCGTGGCTGTCTTCTTCTTGTAGAAGGCCGAACTCTTCACCTGGCGTGTCGTCCGCCGGCCGGGTGACTTGGAGCGCTTTACCTCTGGCAATGAGGTTGGGTGGGCTTCAATTGGGCATGGTGAGGCCAGTGGAGCGCGACTACCAGGTTAGTTCCCAGCTTTGGGCATGCGCCCGGAGGAAAATATTGAGAACCAAATGGGACTTTGAACTTGGCAGCTGGTTCACTGCGTCCCAGAAGCCACATGCAACTTATTGTACCGTTTGGCTGAGCTGCGCAGACAACATATGACATGCTTACCTCGTGCCGTTTACCAATCATACATGCCACTTTCAAAGCAAATAGAACAAACCTTACCCTTTGGCAAGTCAAAGTATTGAAGCCCGGCAAAACGCCACTTCTCACCGAAGCGTCGGATCATTGCCAGGTGGGGCAATTTTCGAAAACGCCACATGGGCAATGCAAAACGCCACGTGGGCAATGGACTTCCCTATCTCAATGAGAATTAGCGTGGGATTCTGAGTGTTCCATGAGTGCTTCTCCAGTGGACCGTTCAACACGTGTCTTTCCACGGAGGAAAAAAACAAAAAAACGCTTGGCGTTCAGTCCGTGGCACATCTTTGCTCAAAGTCGAACACGGAACCGCCAGCTGGCAAAAGGGTCTCGGGAACCTCCGTTTTACGCATAGTCACATAATCAACAAAGTTCCATGACGTGTACCAAACCACCTTTCTGGCCCCATCCCCCAAGCACCAAACAGAAGCATGCCGCTTCCCCCTCATTTCAA